GCTACTTAGGTTGCTGCTCCCATTGAAGAGGGCTTTTATCTTAGATGGCATAGCAAAATGGAGTTTTATACCTCTCTTGGAGATGCTCTTATGGGTTTATCTAAACTCCGTCGTAACTCAAGTTGATTTCACTCCATGCAAAACAAGGGTGCAATGATGTTTCTTTACGAAAAGAGGTGAAAAAAGAATCTCTTTTACTTAAAACATTATGATAATTAAGCAAAACATATAATTCATCAAGACTGTCCAAATTCAATTGAAATCCAAGCTCCAAACCACAAGCAACAACCACAATGATCATAAAGATTGTTCACAAACATTAAAAAAAAAAAAAGCCTAAAGTGAAAATTCACTAAATAAAAGAATTGAAACATACAAATTGCAGAAAATTTCATTGTGCTGTCGAAACCCTAACCTGCTAAAAGTGAAAATCCCAAGTTCTTCATCTTTCTTGCTTCCGAATTGGCTATAACTCATTAGATTTTGCAGAAAATGAATTGTCTTTATTAATCTTTACTTTCTTTGCTTGACTAGTTGATTTTGGGTGAGGAGAAAGCGTGAGCTCTATTTAGTGTGTTGGGGGGCGGCGGGCGGCAGGTGGCGGGCGGCGATAGCTGATGTCCCTAGGTAGAAGAGAGGCATGATGTAGATTTTAAAAACCAGCTCAAAATGATGATGTTTTGGGACTGGGATTGTTTGAAAAATCAAATAGTGTGAAGACTGCGCTTTTTGTGGAAAGAAAATGTCCAGCGTAATGCACCTTAGGAAAATTTCCCATGCCTTGTCGAAAAGCACGCCTCAAGGAGTGATTATGAATGAACATATATTATTTGGTTATTTACCAATTACTTCTCATGAGCTCAGCCACAGCCGGTTCTCACTTTTTTTGGCCTGGCTTACAGGGGTGTTATTTCAAAGTACACCATAAAGAACTTTGAAAAATAAAATAAGAAAACTCCATAAGATTGATTGATATTTTACTTTTCCTTGTGATGGATGGAGTTACTAAGAAATGATTGGTTATTCTTCAGGTATAATTAGGGATGCAAGTTTGAGTATTTTCTTTCTACATCTTGCTATGTCTGAATGCTATAATTTTGGACCTAAATTGAACAGGGACTTGGCTTGTTGACCCTGTCAGCCGTGCTTTCTTCTTCTGAGATCCAAGTAATATTCTTCTTCTTCTCCCTGTATCTAGTAGCTGTTGCACAAGGCGGACACAAGCCTTGTGTTCAGGCATTTGGAGCTGATCAGTTCGATGTCTCAGATCCAGAGGAGTGCAAAGCCAAAAGCTCATTCTTCAATTGGTGGTATTTTGGGTTGTGTGCAGGTACGTCCGTGACGCTTATCCTATTGACCTACATACAGGACAATCTGAGTTGGGGTCTGGGTTTTGGAATTCCTTGTATTGCAATGGTCTTTGCACTGTCACTTTTCTTGCTTGGAACTAGAACTTATCGGTACAGCATTAAAGGGGATGAAGAAAGTCCTTTTGTAAGAATTGGAAATGTGTTTGTTGCTGCTTTAAGGAACCGGCGAACTTCTCCCTCAGCAGTAACTTCTGAAGAGGAATCTCGCGGAATCTTGCCTCACAAGAGTTCTGAACAATTCAAGTAAGAGAGTTAACTGTCGGCATATTTTTAGTTTAAAAAGGAGGGAGAAACTGTCTTCATGACTCTTTCAGTAACCTATCCTGCGAAAGCAATTCGTGAAAGACAAGTATTCATTTATTGTTATAATCTCTTGCATGGCCGCTTAAGTCTATCAGTTATAATTTCAGTTGACCTTAACTAGTTGGAATAAATTGAGTATAAAAAGTGGTATTTGCAGCCCCTTTTTTTCTGTTGTAGTAAGAGCATTTTAGGATCTAATAAAATGTTAATGGTTTTGGTGATTATATTATCGTACCTATGCTGTATAGTATGTACTTAGGTGGTTGAGGATAAACTATTGCCTTTGATTGCATCATCGGTTATATGATATTTAATTCACTGTTTGAATGGAACTGTTAAGTCTGTTCTGATTTCAGCTAAGAAACTGCTATGATATGATTTACTGGTAGGTTTCTCAACAAAGCCTTGCTTGCACCAGATGATTTGAAGGAAAACAGAAAGGTATGTACCATCGTTGACGTTGAAGATGCAAAGGCTGTTCTTAGGCTTTTTCCAATATGGGTTACATGCTTGGCATATGCGGTTGTGTTTGCACAGTACTCCACTTTCTTCACCAAGCAAGGTGCCACCATGGATAGAACTATTGTGCCTGGCTTCAATGTACCAGCCGCTTCACTTCAGACTTTCATCAGCTTTGCCATTGTCATCTTCCTTCCCATTTACGATCGCATTTTTGTTCCAATTGCTAGATCTGTCACGGGGAAACCCGCTGGAATTACAATGCTGCAAAGAATTGGAACAGGGATGGTCTTATCTATTATTTTGATGGTAATTGCAGCTCTAGTTGAGATGAAGAGGCTCAAAACTGCCAAAGATTATGGTCTGCTTGATATGCCAAGTGCCACGGTTCCAATGAGCATCTGGTGGTTGGTTCCTCAGTACTTGTTGGCCGGAATAGCTGATGTTTTCACAATGGTCGGTCTGCAAGAGTTTTTTTATGATCAGGTGCCAAATGAACTAAGGAGTGTAGGACTCGCCCTCTATCTCAGCATCTTCGGCGTGGGAAGCTTCCTAAGTAGCTTTCTTATTTCCGTCGTCGATGACATAACCAGTTTAGCAGGCGAAAGTAGCTGGTTTTCGAGTAATCTTAACCGTGCACATCTTGATTACTTCTATTGGCTGCTTGGTGGAATCAGTTTGGTACAATTGGTTATCTACCTCTACTTTGCAAAATCGTACATTTATAAATCCCACGCCTTGTAACTTATTATTTGAGCACAGTGCTCTACGCATCACCGCCGTTGGTTGTAAATCAGAAATGTGAATCTGTATGATTGGAAATCTACCGTGTATAATTCATTCCAGAGTTATCTAGATGGAATCTAGTGATAATTTGCCTACGCATTTCTTCTTTTAAAAATCCCAAGATTTCGAATTTTGAATGCATGTATTTGTATATACTAGTTCCTAAATAGTTCCAAGTGTTAAGCATTAAAGATATGTTAAATACTATTCCTACTTTTTATGCTCGATGGCAAGGATAATCGATCTCAGTGGAAACTGGCTAAAAGGATGAAAAACTTAGTGATTGTTATATTTAGGGATGGGCAACGGTTATGACGGATTGATAACTGCAGTTATTTACCCATAATTGTTTATGTTTATACCTGTATAACCGTTTATTCGTTGGGTAATTGCCTAAATGGTTATGCTCATACCTGTAATCGTTTATAAACGGTTAATCACACCTATAACCGTATGCCCATTTAACCATAACGTTTAATACCCGTTTATCCATTTACCTTTTTTAACCTGTTTATCTTTCTTTTTTTTTTACCATTACCTTTTTTTTACCCGTCTACATGTTTCTTAACAACTTGAAAATTAAAAAACATTGTCATAATTTTCTTTTTTTTTTTGATAATTAAACACCATTATAGATACATTCATCATACATTTCCGTTTTTCAATTTTTAAGTCCTTATACTATTCCAATAATTAAAATAATAGTTTACGGATGATATTTTTAACTGTTATCAATGAAAGTAACATAATATTTGTTAAGTATTCTTGGGTTACGTAACTCCTTTTGAAATAAATAAATGGGTAATTTAGATTATTAATTATTGATGGTTAACGGATCCAACTGAGCCAACTGAGCTAACTATTGTTGGCATAAGAAAAAGAATTGTACTAATAGATAATTTAGATTATTAATTATGGATGGTTAACTTTGGGTATCTTATGGTATGTTAAATTCCAAAAAAAAAAAAAGGCTCTCTAGGAAACCTTAGGAGAGCGCCGAAAGCCTTAACAAAATTCTCGGTATTCCAGTCACCGCTGCGACAAACCTTTAGGGGCGACGATAACTAACTCCGAGGGGGTCGTCTTTCATGGTGTGGGGAAGGTTGTTCCATTGCAGTTCTGTGTGCGGGGTTGCGAGTTGTTAGGTACGGCCTTTGCAACGATGGAGGATATGGTTTCTAAGTTCTGTAAAAAAGTTGCAATAACAGAAGATGAACAGACGATTGTTGTGGTTGATAGGAGAAGTTGTCTCTTAAGTCGTCTAAAGTGTTCCTAGTGAGGGAGGTGTTGACAAGAAAACCATTGAATAAAGAAAATTTCAAGCGACATATGAGAAACTTGTGGAGACCTAAGGCCAATGTGCTAATATTTGAATTGGAGGCTGATAGATTCGCGTTTGGCTTTAATACCAAGCAGGAACAGACTGTGATCCAGATGGGTGGCCCGTGGCTATGCAATAAGCAGTCTTTGTTGATCCTTGAGGAGGCTGATGACTTAACTCATCCTGCTAAGGTGCTACTATCAGGGGTTCCCGATTTGCTACATGACAAGGCAAATGGGTAAACTTATCGGAAATATCTTGGGTGAATATGTCTTATCGGATCAAAGTAGGAAAGAGTTCCAGTTCGGAAGCATTCTTAGAATTAGAGTTCAACTTGATGTTCGTAAACCATTGCGCCGTTGGGTGTCGGTCTAATTGGATGGGAAGGTGGTGCAGGTGGATGTTCGCTATGAGAAGCTTCATCTTACATTATATGTGCTAAAACACCGTTCAGCAATAGTAAAAAGGTGGAAATGTCCCTAGTTTTTTCGGTCCATTACCGTTTTGATGCCTGCTTCACATAATAAAATATCTATATTGCCCATGATAGCCACGTGTTGATCATCATTTGTCCTCCCAGGTTGCGTGTCTATGATCGTCGAGTTGTGGCACAAAGAAAGATAAAATAATTAATTAAAAAACTGACAAAAAATTATTTTAAAAAATATGACTTAAATCAGGCCACATGGTTTGTAGCGCACAACACAATAAAAAATTATAAAAACATTGAATGCATGGACAAAATAATTATTAAAAATTGTGAGAAACCCACATGTCCCCATTCCTTTGCCTTTTGATTATTTTATTTTTTGATTTTGCTCGGCTTTTAGTCTTCCACGCCGAGTCTCCTATAGTAGGTGGCACAGAACATGATTTGTGGCACATAACACAATAAAATATTATAAAAACATTTGAATGCAGAGTCTCTGCAGAGTGTGGGCACAAAGAAAGATAAAATAATATAAAAAAAACTGACAACAAATATTTAAAATAATAAGTTAATCCAGGTTTGTGGCACATAACACAATAAAAAATTAAAAAAAAATTTTGAACGCATGGAAACCAAATATTAAAAATTGTGAGAAGCCCCGCTGTCTTCCACCTTGCCCTTGGTTATTTTATTTTTTGGTTTTGCTCTGCTTTTTGTCTTCCACGTGTTGATCATCAAGGGATTTTCTGTTGAGAAGGCTTCTCCCTTTATCTTTCATTTTTATCTCTTTCTATCCTCAATTTTTCCTTTGCTTTTTCTGCTTCTTTCTTTCACGTTTTAGCAAACGGTGTTGTGTTGCCATTGTCACGCTAGTTCTACTTTAGGTATGTCGTTCTTCTTTTTTTTCTTTTTTTTTTTCTACTTATTTTTGCTTATTTTCTGTTCTTGGGTAAATTTGGTGTTTAATTTAGAGCACAGGAAATAGGAAATAATTATTAAACGGCGCTTTTGGCAATCGTTTGCTTTCTTCGTTGTCTTTGTTTGCTTCTCCCGCTCTTGCCAGTCCTTTTCTTTTGTTTTTGAATCGTTCTCAACACCTGAACCAAGTGATCAATCTTATAAACGAAAAAGAGAATCTGTGAGAAGAGCGTTTTTCATTCCTGGTGAACAAAGGTTTGATATCTAATTTCATACTATTCTCAAATATGATGTTTATATTTTTACATCATGTTTTAAAAATTTCCATGTGTTCACTTCAACTTTCTTAAAATTTACATATCAAACATTTTCAATACTATGAATTATAACTAGGAATCATCTTTTCTTCTTTCTGTGAACAACTACATTAATGTTGCATAATCATTCAACTCAGTGAATCTGAAGAAATTTCTGGAGTTGATCCAAGAGATTGTATGAGGTTCCGAGCAAGTTATTAAAAAAAAAAACACCTCCTACTCAGGCAAAGCCACACAGCAGCATTGGAAACAATGATTAGGTTAGTATGCTTTCAAGTTGTTTTATCTTTTCCTCCATTACCATTTAAATGTGATACCAAATCATATCTAAATATGTTATGTTCTATTCCTCTTTGTTCAGGTTGCTTTATCAATGACAACAAGGGCTGAAGACACCTTTCACTACTCTGATCAAGAATGTTTACCGTGTTTTGTTTATCTATATTAAATCATGTTTAAAAACCTCTACATATCTTTTTTTGCCCAAAACTCAACAATATTTTTTTGCATCCCCATACAACAACATCTCCTCATTTTTTGTATGCAAAAGCTGGAACACAGTATATTAGATGGGGTTATTAGAAGAAATTCAGTTATTATAATGTTTTTTGTATCTTTATGCCAGGAATTTCTATTTTTTGTAACTGAATGTAATCCTCCTGGTTCAGAAATACATAGAACTGCTACAATATAATGGATAACTATAATTTGTATCTTTATATTATCTAAATTTAACTTTTTCCAGTTAACGCTTTTCCAAATTCATTGTTGTTATCGTTGTTCCTATTTTGTAACCGAAAATTTTTCATTTTTAACATCTTATCTTAACTTTAAACCCGTGGCAACGCGCGCGTATTAAGCACTAGTGTTTTCTATGTGGTATGATGGACCACGTGGAGGAACAATGTGAGAAATTTAATGGATGGAATGATGATGATCGTGCAAAACCGTATGGGAGGTAGTTTTAAGATAATGTCTTAGGTAAAGACTATATGAAGCCACAAGGTAAGAAATTTGGTCTGGATTCAGAGGTTGGGTGGTCCATGAATGTGCCAAATTCTGAGAATGGTGATGAACATATGAGGGAGGTCGATGTGGGGACGAAGAATGGCAGAACGAACCGGCGTATGGCACAGCCAAGAGAGGGAGATAGGAGCCAAATCGTTGGGGTTCCTATGGATTCGTTTGGTAAGTTAGGGTAGCCTGTATGAGTGATTGATGAACATGTATTAATGAGCAGCATTCTGGATCTTAATGAGATTGCCCATGATGACGAGATGATTGACACATCAATGGCAATTATACCATTTGTGGAGAACAATGATGTTATTGCTGGTCAACAGGGGATGATGAACGATCTTGAAGGGGTGCAGGGAGAGAATGACGCTAGGCTTAGGGCACTAGCTCGTTCAGGTGAGCAGTAGGTGGCATATCCTATTAGTGTGGGACAGCTAAATGCACCCACCCCAATTTAGGAAGGATCATTAGAGCAGCATAATGGAGGAAGGGCATACACTGATTGGGTAATGGGATCAGACCCATTTAACTTAGATCCATTTATGTTTGGGCCTAGTGGTCCCGTGCAAGGAAGGGGTCAATGGAAGATGGTGGTTAGAGGCAGAGGGAGAAAGCGAACTAAGGGGGTGTATACAAAGCTACCTGAACTTGGTAAGAGACATATACATGAGCAGGAGGGTGGGAAAAGTGAAGATGTAGCGAAGAGAATAGTGGTGGTGATGGAGTCTATGAATTTTTCAACGGCGGCGGCTGATGAGGATTAGCCCCGCCAAAAGCAATGAGTTGCATTAGTTGGAATTGCCGAGGGCTTGGGAACCTCTATGCAATTCGGGCCCTAAAAAGACTAGTTCTCTTAAAAGCTCCCATTGTGATTTTTTTGTGTGAAACGAAGAGCTCGAGAGAGCATATGGAGAACTTAAAATCACAATTATAGTTTGGCTTTATTTTTACGGTACCCAGTCGAGGAAGATTAGGTGGTTTGTGTGCAATGTGGAAAGAGAAGGCAAATCTTTCACTCAGAACATATTCTAATAATAACATGGATTTTGAGGTGGGAGGTTTGGGTGATACACGACATTGGAGGGTTGTTTTTTTCTATGGTTACCCAGCGGAGATCGACCGTCATAAGTCCTGGACTTTATTAAAGCGATTACATGCCAACTCGTCCTTGCCATGGTGTTGTATAAGCGACTTTAATGAAGTCTTACGAGCGGACGAACAGGAAGGTGAAGACTTACGCAGTGAGAGACAGATTGAGGGTTTCCGACATGCATTATCAAGCTGCCAACTCCAGGACTTGGGGTTTATCGGAAACAAATACACGTGGGAAACTACATGAAATGGGGGAATTAGGGTTCGACTAGACCGTGCTATAGCTAATCAAAGTTAGATTGATTTGTTTCCACAGTTTCAGGTGAGCCATTTGAAACCCATGTCATCTGATCATATTCTTATTTTGATAGAATAAGAGATTAAAAGAAGAATACGAGCCCGGAGAAGTTTTAGGTATGAAGATGGGTGGACGGTTCAAGAGGGTTGTGCTCATGCAGTAAAGGCTGGCTGGGAGTCGACTTTCAAGGTTTCTCCCTATTGGACAGTACAGTATGGAAGGGACAGTACAGAGGGACAGTTCAGTATGGAAGGGAACATTGCAGAAGGGAATATTGCAGAAGGGAATATTGCACGTCTTGACAGCTAGACATCACGTGGGTTGCTGATGGGTTGCTGATTATTTTTATCTAGTTGCTGCATCTTGACAGCAAGCATAACCTTTATTGCATGCGTCTGTGTGCATGCGTGTCTGTAAAAATGTTGTATATATCATGCTGCCTTTGCAGCAGTTTAATATGAAAAACCACAACAAATTGAAACCAAAACGTCAAGATGGTATCAGAGCAGGAACCATAGGGTCCTGCCTCTGTCGTTTATCCTTTCAGCTCATTCTCGGACCTATTCAATGACTCCTTGAGCTGTAAGTTGTCCATCCGTGTATCTTCCCTTCCAATATCCTTACTTTATCTTCCGGGTCATTCTTTCCAGGATGAAGTTTATCTAAATAGTCAGTGAGCTCTTCCAGTTCCAGCAGCTGTCTTGAAGTAAAATCTTTGAGAACAAGTGAAAAGTTATTGTGATATATCGCTCAGTTCTTTCCTTCTAGCTTGTTCTTCTTCCTCTGTTCATCATTTGTTGTGATGGCAGAAGATATCTCATTTAGTTCTGAGGCTACAAGTTCCTCAAAACTAACACCAGCCAACATGATACACGGGGAGAGCAACCCACGACTGTGCTCCGTGTTGTTGAATGAATTCAACTACTTGCCATGGTCACGAGCTATATCTCTTGCTCTAGGAGGAAGATCGAAACTAGGGTACGTAAATGGAACCATCAAGCCTCCAGATTCTTCCTCAGCTACCTTTGATGCATGGCACTCAAATGACCAGCTTGTTATGTCCTGGATACTTAACTCGATGGAGCCCAAGTTGTCCGAGATCTTCAGCTACTCAGATTCTTCATACATCTTATGGGAATCGATCAAAGAAATGTACGGCAGTCAACACAATGCTGCCCGTGTGTTTGAACTGAAGAAAAGCCTCGCTGGACTTAAGCAAGGTAATCAAACTTTCATTCAGCATCTTGGAAGCATGAAATCTATGTGGAATGAACTTGATCTATACCGTCCACACACCACTGAATCCGCTGCACTCTTGAAAAGGGCTGATGAAGATAAAGTGTTCCAACTATTGGCAAGCTTGGGAGTTGAGTATGAAGACTTGCGTAGCCACTTACTAATGACTCCTGAGCTACCATCGTTCGTTAACGTGTGTCATGCAGTCCAAAGAGAGGAAACTCGAAGGAAAGTAATGCAGGTTGAGCCCCGGCCTAGCCCAGAAGCTAGGGCTTTCATCAGTAACCACAAATTCACTAGTGAAAAGTTTTTTAATGGAAAGAAAGCTGACTGGAAATGCTCATACTGCAACACCAAGGGGCACGTACGGGAAAAATGCTGGATTTTACACCCTGAGTTAAAGCCTAAGTTTAACAAGGAAGGAAAAATGATCAGGGATGGGAAAGGGTATGTGCCCAAAGCCTTCCAATCTTTGAGCTGTCCATCTAAAGAGATGTCAAACTTCACCTCAAGTCCTATCTCCCTGATCAATGAGTTTGCCGCCTTTCTCCAAAAGAAGAGTGATATCGCTGAGGGTAACAATGTCACCACGGAAAATTCCACAGAAATGCTTGGAAAATTTGCTGGTTTTTTGGCAAATTCAAACACCACTACATCCGGCAATATCCCAGGTATCATTTGTACACTTTCCACGGCTCTCAAGCTCACACACGATTTTTGGATTGTAGACTCAGGTGCCACTGACCATATAACCAATAACCAAGCTTGTCTACATGAGTTTCAAAAATTACCTAATCCTACTCATGTGTCTGTAGCGAATGGGAAAGGGGAACCAGTCCTAGGAAAAGGAAAAATTAAATTGATGGGGAGTGATGTAGAGTCTACGGCACTATATGTACCCTCATTTCCATTTCAGCTTCTGTCCATAGGAAACATCACACATACTTTGAACTGTCTTGCTATTTTTTCTCCTCACACAGTTGTGTTTCAGGATCGAGCCACTCAGAAGAAGATTGGTGAGGGTTTTTTCTTAAATGGTCTGTACTACATCTCAAAGGAGTTCAATCAAATTAAGGAACCCATTGCCACCCTAAGCCATGTCCAGAAGCATCAACTTTGGCACCAACGCCTCGCTCATCCCTCCGAACCAGTAATGTCTAAATTATTTCCAAATTATTGTACCAACACACATGAGTGTGAGATCTGTCAAATGTCAAAAGCCACTAGGCTACCTTTTGTACCCTCTAAATCTAGAACCAGTAAACTTTTTGAAGTTGTACACTCAGATATTTGGGGACCTTCCCGTGTTGAGTCATTTGATGGGTACAAGTATTTTGTTACATTCATAGATGACTACTCTAGGGTTACCTGGTTATATCTCTTAAAGTCTAAAAGTGAATTTTTTACAGCTTTTCAAGACTTTCATAAGCTAATAACCAACCAATTCTCCTCAAAAATATATACCTTACGGTCAGATAATGGCACCGAGTACACCTCCAATAATCTGTCAAACTACTTGAGCAGTCATGGTATCTTGCATCAAACTAGTTGTGTGGGTACACCACAACAAAATGGTGTTGCCGAACGCAAGAATAGGGATTTATTGGAGAAAACTAGGTCTCTTATGTTTCAGATGCAAGTTCCCAAGAGATTCTGGTCCCAAGCACTCCTCACTGCAGCCTATATCATTAACAGACTTCCCACTCGTGTCCTGAATTCCAAATCACCTTTTGAAGTTATGAAGGGAAGAACTGCTGATTTAACTCATTTCAGGATTTTTGGATGCACTTGTTATGTTCACGTTCAAGCAAATCATCGTGATAAACTCGAACCTCGAGCTATCAAGTGTGTGTTTATGGGGTACTCGAGTTCTCAAAAGGGATACAAATGTTATAACCCACACACTGGGAAGCTGGTTGTCTCTAGGGATGTACGGTTTGATGAACTTGTGCCTTTCTTCAACAATCACTCCCCGGATAGTTCTCAGGGGGAGAGTCTAATGGATATTTTTCCACTACCAACTCTTGC